GTCCGTCCACTGCTCCTCTGCGTGCCCCTTTGCCTTCTCCTCCTGAGTCCTCTCTTCCTGCTCTTCCTGACCCGGAGTCGGACTCTCTTCGTGCTGCCAGTCCTACTGTCGCGCGTCTCCTTGCTACTGTTGTCACTGACCCTTCCTTTGAGTCCGCTGCTGCGTCTGCCCTAGTTACTGAGCTCGTCGACTTTGCTGCTCGCTGTCGTCTCGACTACGCTGCTAGTCTTGTTGCTGAGTCTGAGTCTGTCTGTCCTCCGTCCGTCGGGGGTGAGTGTGCCCTTGGCACGGACGTCCTTGAGGACAGGCAGGAGGAGTTCCAGTGCTTGGCTGCTGCTTCACCTCATCTCGTGTCCGTACTGCTTACCCCTGAGGGAGACCCGGATGCACTTGACATCCCGACTCCGCGCTCTTACGCGGAGGCGATAGAGGGTCCCTACTCCTCTCAGTGGCAGGCAGCTATGGACGCAGAGATGGCTTCCTGGAAGTCCACAGACACCTACGTTGACGAGGTTCTCCCGCCTGGGGCGAACATCGTCAGTGGCATGTGGATTTTCAGGGTGAAGCGGCCGCCGGGTTCTCCGCCTGTCTTCAAGGCGCGTTACGTGGCTCGTGGCTTCAGTCAGCGGCAGGGAGTTGACTACTTTCAGACCTTCTCTCCCACCCCGAAGATGACCACTCTTCGGGTACTGCTGCACATAGCTGCTCACCGCGACTACGAGCTGCACTCTCTTGACTTCAGCACTGCTTTCTTGCAGGGCAGCCTGCACGAGGAGATCTGGCTGCGTCGCCCACCTGGCTTCACTGGGTCCTTTCCTCCTGGCACCAAGTGGAGCCTCCGGCGGCCAGTCTACGGTCTCCGCCAGGCACCGCGTGAGTGGCACGACACACTGAGGACTACGCTTGCGGCTCTTGGGTTTGCTCCCTCTACTGCCGACCCGTCGCTGTTTCTGCGCACCGACACTTCTTTGCCGCCGTTCTACATCCTCGTGTACGTCGACGACTTGGTCTTCGCCACAGCTGACACTGCTGGACTCGCCCACGTGAAGTCCGAGCTGCAGAAGAGACACACGTGCACAGACCTGGGTGAACTGCGCAGCTACCTTGGCTTGCAGATCACCCGGGACAGAGCACACCGCACCATTACCCTGACTCAGTCACACATGGTGCAGCAGGTCCTTCAGCGCTTCGGCTTCACGTACTCCTCGCCTCAGGCCACTCCTCTGCCTACTCGCCACTCGCTCTCAGCTCTGCCTTCGGATGAGTCCGTAGAGTCGAGTGGCCCGTACCCAGAGCTTGTTGGCTGCCTCATGTACCTGATGACCTGCACACGACCTGACCTTGCATACCCTCTTAGCATTCTCGCACGCTATGTTGCTCCTGGGAGACACAGACCGGAGCACATGGCTGCAGCGAAGAGGGTGTTGCGCTACTTGTGCAGTACGTCGGGCATGGGGCTTGTGCTTGGAGGGCAGAGTCCAGTGGTCCTCACTGGGCACGCAGACGCTTCTTTGGCTGACGACCAGGCTACGCAGCGGTCGTCACAGGGTTACACCTTCAGCCTTGGTTCCGGCTCTGTTTCGTGGCGGGCTACCCGCTCGTCTTCTGTTCTCGGCTCCAGTTGTGAGGCTGAGATCTACGCTGGGGCCATGGCTGCACAGGAGCTTCGCTGGCTCACCTACCTGCTGACTGACCTCGGAGAGCCGCCTCGTTCTCCTCCAGTGCTGTACGTAGACAACAAGGCCATGCTGGCCTTGTGTCGAGAGCAGAGACTGGAGCACAGAACGAAGCACATTGCTCTCCGCTACTTCCTTGCTCGTGAGCTACAGCAGCGTGGTCAGCTGCGGCTTGCGTACGTGGCCTCTCAGGCCAACACTGCTGATATCTTCACCAAGGCACTTGCGCCTTGTGATCATCAGCGCTTCTGTACTCAGCTGGGTCTTGTGCCTACCTTGCCTCACTTGCTCACCCTTTGACCTTGTTTGTACTGTTGCATATATATATACGCCTGCTCTTGCTTGTCTAGCCTTATATATATATGTGTCATCCTGCATGTGAACTGGCCTTGTGGCCTTGAACTTGTGCTCGGAATGTGTGGTGACTTTGTGATCCACCCTGAGCTTGCTTTGCTTTGCTTGACTGGTCTTGTGACCCCTTGTTCTCCCCCACTTTGCCTATGGGGGTGTGTCAGATTTATATGACATAGCTACTGTAGGCTATAGTGGGGTAGCACATATGGGGTACAGTTTTCTAGGGTTTGCATTTGTACCCAACTTTCCCTTAGTCAATCATTCTCGTTCAATTTCACAGTAGGTGAGTGGCAAAGCTCCCTGGTGCACATGGACATGAGTGCAACTCGTGGAAATCTGTGGCAGGTTGTCTTTGTGCTCTAAAACCAACCAATTGCAAACGAAGATGCCACTTCACGCCATTGGTTAGATTCGTTGGGATCAGGAAGGGTGTTCAATGTGTGCGAATCCAGCGACAAGTCCGCTCACAGGCGTGTTCAGCTGGAAAACTAAGAACTATCGGGTAGTTAGATTTGGTGGGGGTAATATTAGCGACCCTGGGCATTCCAAGGAACTACAGGTGCTAGTTGCGCACACTTTCCGCCCCTCCGTCCCTCAGACAGGAAAGTTATTGCAACCCACGTGTCACAAATTCGCAAGCCATTGGAAAAAAAAACTCATTCACCTGACCGAAAGTAATGAAACCCAATCGGAAAGGGATGCGTCCCGGGGAGGCATCAACCCTAAAAAAATGCGGGTTCCCTTGTTTATGGTTGATCCCTCCCGAAAATGAGTCCAGGTTCCCTAAGGGTTTTATTTATTTCTGCCTTGCGTTTTCACATTTTCCCGAACTTGTGACACGTGGATGAATGTGGGGCCGAGTTCTGTGCTGTTGCAATAACTTTCCCGTCTGAGGGTCAGAGGGGCGGAAAGTGTGCGCAACTAGCACTGTAGTTCCCTGGAAAGCGCAGGGTCGCTAGTAATAACCCCCGCAAAAGCTACTTACCCAAACAATCGAAACATTCACTTCAATGGTGGGTGTAGTTCCTAGGAGAACTTACAAAACGCAGCACTGCACGCTTCATTCATTCAGTCAGGAGGATCTGCTCACTCCACTCCTTGGGTTGCGGTCACAGTTGCACGATACAGCACAGTTGTATCCGCCCCCGTCGAAGCCAGAAAGCTGGCTGGGTTTGCTACAGTATTCAAATTAACCAATTGTTGAGTTGGATGGCTGTACACCCTCTTTCGCGCTAGTAGAGCATCTGGTTGCAGAACATACACAGGTTGTAGAACGTCACCACGTTCAGAACGGTCTTGTCACCAACTGTACAAGCACAATGCGAAGAATGCGGTTAGTTGAGGTTATGCACGTTACAATAAGCCTTTTCAGCGTTTTCATTTGGTTGGGTGGGTTATACAGCGATAACGGAAATTTTACGCCCTTGAGCCAGTTTGTCACGTGGCTCGGCTTTCCCCCCCAGGTTGCTAGGAACGTTTTATGGCACCTGACCGCATGAGACAAGTACTGTAGCAACGAGTCGCGCTTGGTGAAAAGGTTGAGAAAGAGGGTGTACTGTATAAGAAAGTGGGTTTTGAGTCGAGCACGCACTGTTACTGAACTTCTTCGCTCCCAGCGTAGCTACAGCGCTTCTGGCGCACTGTTACTGCCCAGTTTTCGCTCAGAGCGCAGAAACATGTGCTTTCAACGTAGTTTTAACTTCATTGGTCCACACATGGCACATAACTACAAACCGAACCTGTGGATGCTGTCACAGAAAACAGTAACCACTTACATTTGTTTTTAGTGCTAAAACGATATGTATACCCCTTTAAGAAGGGTATCATCTCTAAACACCTTCCGAATGTTGTTTAGGGTTGATGCTCAATAGAGACATGCCATTGAGAAGGGCATCAACCCTAAACACCTTGTCGCCCGGTGTTTAGGGTTGATGACTCCCTCGAAAAAGATGCCATCCGATAGGGTTTGATTTGTTTTATGCCCGAAATGCTAGCGTTTGACGGTTCGGTGGCCGTCAACCAAAGCAGAGTTATCGGCCCGTCAATTCTATGACCAATGAAAGCAAAACTGCGTTGAAAGCACATAACTCTGCACTGTGAGCGAATTCTGGGCAGTAACAGTGCGCCAGAAGCGCTGTAGCTGCGTGGGGAGCAAATAAGTTCAGTAACAGTGCGTGCTCAACTCAAAACCCTAAGAAAGTCGCAACAAGGTGGTGGCAGCTGTGCATTTCCAAAATAGACTGTGTCCCCTATTAAAGCAACAGTATACTTTTGCAAGCAGGGGTTTCAAAAACCTTAGGAACTTGAAAAACTGGTTACGCGATTACAACCCCAACCCCCTGGTTGACAGGCGAAGTGAGTCCCCAAACACCCCACGTCCGACTCCCCGCACTCCCAGTTCAAAACCTTAGGAATTGCAAAAGGAAACTGAAACTGTGGTAGTGAGAGGATAGCCCACACGCTCCTACTTGGGTAGGTTATTCCGCGTAGACTAGGCAACATTCTAACCGAACAGCTAGATTTAGGGACAGAATCTGTTATTGAACCGCGTAACGCTGTTTGCGCGCATGCGCGAACAAATCGCCACGCCTACGCACTCGCTTAGGCCACGCCACCGTAGACAAGGCCGCCCCACGCCTCCTCTCGCTGCCTCACCGCGAGGCCACTAGCGACAGCGCCTCCCCTCCCCACAGAGTCCCGTTTAGCTTCGACGCGCTAGCATCTGCCATCCCATCCCTTCCTCCACTCCTAGCTCGCCGTTCGCCGTTCGCCGCGCGCGGTGAGCCGCTGCTTCCCGCTCGCCGCTCGCGTGCCCTCCCTTTCACGTTCGCCGTCCGTCGTTCGCCTTTCACCGGACGACGTCCGGAGTGAGTCTCCCCTCGCCGAACCACGCTGCCTCGTTCTTTTCTGGTTTATTCCCATTCGCGGCTGCGCGAATGCTTGGTTCATCGGACTTGGCTCTACGTCTCCTCACGCGGCCCCGTCGCGACCACCGCCACGCCTTCTCTCCTTCCCCGCCACGCCATCTCCCCTTCCCGCCACGCCAACTCCCCTTCCCGCCACGTCATCTCCCCTTCCCGCCACGCCATCCCCCCTTCCCACCACGCCATCCCCCCTTCTCGCCTCGTCATCTCTCCTTCCCGCCACGCTATCCCCCCTTCCCGCCACACCATCTCCCCTTCCCGCCACGCCTTCTCCCCTTCCCGCCACGCCTTCTCCCCTTCCGGACACGCCCTCATTCCCCCCCCCCCCCCTGCACGCCCTCGTTTCCCCCCCTGCACGCCCTCATCCTCCCCCCACCACCCTCCCCCCCCCCCCCCCCCCCCCCCCCCTCGAACGCCCTCATTTCCCCCCCTGCACGCCCTCATTCCCCCCCCTGCACGCCCTCATTTCCCCCCCTGCACGTTCTCATTTCCCCCCTTGCACGCCCTCATTTCCGCCCCTGCACGCCCTCATTTCCCCCCTGCACGCCCTCATTCCCCCCCCTGCACGCCCTCATTTCCCCCCTGCACGCCCTCATTCCCCCCCCTGCACGCCCTCATTCCCCCCCCTGCACGCCCTCATTCCCCCCTGCACGCCCTCATTTCCGCCCCTGCACGCCCATCACCCCACCCCTGCCTTCACATCTCCTCTTCCTTGCCCTTCACTTGCCTTCCCTTCCCTCGGCTCCCCTTCCCTACCAGCCCTTCCGCTTCCAGACCCTGCAGTCAATCACCTGTCCCTTTTTGTCTCGCGTCACTTCCGTTGCTGCTCTTCCAATCCTGCCCCTCACTTACACACAATGTGAGTCCCAACCAGTCCATCCCCTCTCTTTCTGCCCTCCTCTTCTCGTCCATCCGCCCTCTCACACTCGTCACGCCTCCCCACGCACTCTTCCTGCCATTCTCACTCTCGCGCCGTCGCCATCCCTCCCTGCCTTCCCATCACACCTCCCTGCCTTCCCATCACACCTCCCTGCCTTCCCATCACACCTCCCTGCCTTCCCATCACACCTCCCTGCCTTCCCATCACACCTCCCTGCCTTCCCATCACACCTCCCTGCCTTCCCATCACACCTCCCTGCCTTCCCATCACACCTCCCTGCCTTCCCATCACACCTCCCTGCCTTCCCATCACACCTCCCTGCCTTCCCATCACACCTCCCTGCCTTCCCATCACACCTCCCTGCCTTCCCATCACACCTCCCTGCCTTCCCATCACACCTCCCTGCCTTCCCATCACACCTCCCTGCCTTCCCATCACACCTCCCTGCCTTCCCATCACACCTCCCTGCCTTCCCATCACACCTCCCTGCCTTCCCATCACACCTCCCTGCCTTCCCATCACACCTCCCTGCCTTCCCATCACACCTCCCTGCCTTCCCATCACACCTCCCTGCCTTCCCATCACACCTCCCTGCCTTCCCATCACACCTCCCTGCCTTCCCATCACACCTCCCTGCCTTCCCATCACACCTCCCTGCCTTCCCATCACACCTCCCTGCCTTCCCATCACACCTCCCTGCCTTCCCATCACACCTCCCTGCCTTCCCATCACACCTCCCTGCCTTCCCATCACACCTCCCTGCCTTCCCATCACACCTCCCTGCCTTCCCATCACACCTCCCTGCCTTCCCATCACACCTCCCTGCCTTCCCATCACACCTCCCTGCCTTCCCATCACACCTCCCTGCCTTCCCATCACACCTCCCTGCCTTCCCATCACACCTCCCTGCCTTCCCATCACACCTCCCTGCCTTCCCATCACACCTCCCTGCCTTCCCATCACACCTCCCTGCCTTCCCATCACACCTCCCTGCCTTCCCATCACACCTCCCTGCCTTCCCATCACACCTCCCTGCCTTCCCATCACACCTCCCTGCCTTCCCATCACACCTCCCTGCCTTCCCATCACACCTCCCTGCCTTCCCATCACACCTCCCTGCCTTCCCATCACACCTCCCTGCCTTCCCATCACACCTCCCTGCCTTCCCATCACACCTCCCTGCCTTCCCATCACACCTCCCTGCCTTCCCATCACACCTCCCTGCCTTCCATCACACCTCCCTGCCTTCCCATCACACCTCCCTGCCTTCCCATCACACCTCCCTGCCTTCCCATCACACCTCCCTGCCTTCCCATCACACCTCCCTGCCTTCCCATCACACCTCCCTGCCTTCCCATCACACCTCCCTGCCTTCCCATCACACCTCCCTGCCTTCCCATCACACCTCCCTGCCTTCCCATCACACCTCCCTGCCTTCCCATCACACCTCCCTGCCTTCCCATCACACCTCCCTGCCTTCCCATCACACCTCCCTGCCTTCCCATCACACCTCCCTGCCTTCCCATCACACCTCCCTGCCTTCCCATCACACCTCCCTGCCTTCCCATCACACCTCCCTGCCTTCCCATCACACCTCCCTGCCTTCCCATCACACCTCCCTGCCTTCCCATCACACCTCCCTGCCTTCCCATCACACCTCCCTGCCTTCCCATCACACCTCCCTGCCTTCCCATCACACCTCCCTGCCTTCCCATCACACCTCCCTGCCTTCCCATCACACCTCCCTGCCTTCCCATCACACCTCCCTGCCTTCCCATCACACCTCCCTGCCTTCCCATCACACCTCCCTGCCTTCCCATCACACCTCCCTGCCTTCCCATCACACCTCCCTGCCTTCCCATCACACCTCCCTGCCTTCCCATCACACCTCCCTGCCTTCCCATCACACCTCCCTGCCTTCCCATCACACCTCCCTGCCTTCCCATCACACCTCCCTGCCTTCCCATCACACCTCCCTGCCTTCCCATCACACCTCCCTGCCTTCCCATCACACCTCCCTGCCTTCCCATCACACCTCCCTGCCTTCCCATCACACCTCCCTGCCTTCCCATCACACCTCCCTGCCTTCCCATCACACCTCCCTGCCTTCCCATCACACCTCCCTGCCTTCCCATCACACCTCCCTGCCTTCCCATCACACCTCCCTGCCTTCCCATCACACCTCCCTGCCTTCCCATCACACCTCCCTGCCTTCCCATCACACCTCCCTGCCTTCCCATCACACCTCCCTGCCTTCCCATCACACCTCCCTGCCTTCCCATCACACCTCCCTGCCTTCCCATCACACTCCCTGCCTTCCCATCACACCTCCCTGCCTTCCCATCACACCTCCCTGCCTTCCCATCACACCTCCCTGCCTTCCCATCACACCTCCCTGCCTTCCCATCACACCTCCCTGCCTTCCCATCACACCTCCCTGCCTTCCCATCACACCTCCCTGCCTTCCCATCACACCTCCCTGCCTTCCCATCACACCTCCCTGCCTTCCCATCACACCTCCCTGCCTTCCCATCACACCTCCCTGCCTTCCCATCACACCTCCCTGCCTTCCCATCACACCTCCCTGCCTTCCCATCACACCTCCCTGCCTTCCCATCACACCTCCCTGCCTTCCCATCACACCTCCCTGCCTTCCCATCACACTCCCTGCCTTCCCATCACACCTCCCTGCCTTCCCATCACACCTCCCTGCCTTCCCATCACACCTCCCTGCCTTCCATCACACCTCCCTGCCTTCCCATCACACCTCCCTGCCTTCCCATCACACCTCCCTGCCTTCCCATCACACCTCCCTGCCTTCCCATCACACCTCCCTGCCTTCCCATCACACCTCCCTGCCTTCCCATCCCATCACACCTCCCTGCCTTCCCATCACACCTCCCTGCCTTCCCATCACACCTCCCTGCCTTCCCATCACACCTCCCTGCCTTCCCATCACACCTCCCTGCCTTCCCATCACACCTCCCTGCCTTCCCATCACACCTCCCTGCCTTCCCATCACACCTCCCTGCCTTCCCATCACACCTCCCTGCCTTCCCATCACACCTCCCTGCCTTCCCATCACACCTCCCTGCCTTCCCATCACACCTCCCTGCCTTCCCATCACACCTCCCTGCCTTCCCATCACACCTCCCTGCCTTCCCGCCACACGTCCCTGCCTTGCCTCCCATGGGTTTGGGGCCCCATTATTTACCGCTGCGACACCAAGCACGACAACGCCTGGCCCAAGCGAGATTGAAGTGGTGGAAAGGAAGGGATGCAGTGGGGGGAAGGGAGAAAAAGCATGGGGGAAGGAGGGGAAGCAGGAAAGGAGGGGAAGCAGGGGGGGAAAGGAGGGGAAGCCGTGGGGGAAAAGGGGAGAAGCGTGGGGGGAAAGGAGGGGAAGCCGTAGGGGAAAAGGGGGGAAGAAGGGGGGGGGGGAAGGAGGGGAAAAATGGGGCTAGCATGGGGGGAAACATAGGGCCAGCAGTAGGGGGGTGACATGGGGCTAAGAGGGCGGAAACATGGGGCTAGCATGGGGGGAAGTATGGGGCTAGCAGGGGGGGAAATGGGGCTGGCAGGGGGGAAAAATGGGGCTGGCAGGGGGGAAAAATGGGGCTGGCATAGGGGGAAATATGGGGCGCAGGGGGGGAAATGGGGCTGGAGCGCGCGTGCTTGCAACCGCGTGCTGATTGATGACGCGCGAGCGTCATCTGCGCTCGCTGTGCAGGCGCGCGCGCTATGCAGGCGCGTACCGCTTTGCTGCGCGCGTTTTGCTGGCGCGCGCTGCTATGCTGAGCGCGCATTGCTGACGCGCGCTGCGCTGTCTCGCGCGGAATGCAGGCGTGCGTTCGAGGCTCGAGGAGAGCGCGCAACTGCTGCTGCACAGGCTTCTGCTTATGCGCGGGCTAATCCTGGCTAAGGGCGACGGGCCAGCTGGCTGGCGGAGGAGTGCAAATACCTCCCCACGTGAAATGTGTATTTTCTGAATGCACGAAGCCATTGCGGGGAGCGCGTCGAATGCCCCTCGTAGTGGCGCATTAGATAGGTTTCGACGGGCGCTAAGTATTCAATACGGCGGATTGAGGCGAATGCCTCTGTGCCATCGTCCGAGTGCATTGCGTCGAAATATTAGTGCACGTGGGGGAGATGGCGGGCGTTTTTGCTGGTCGCTTTTTAACCGTCGCCTGCTCTGCACATGGCTAATTACTCACCCGCGACTACCTATGTGTGTGGTCGCGCTCCAGGTCTAGCAACCACTAGCCCACTCCTTAGGTACTTCTACCAGTTCTGATAGCTACTAGTCTCTTCGAAGCGTGCAGCGAGGCAGGTGAGTTCGGTTTGTGACTGACAACCTCCCCACCCAACCCTTGTTCCCTCACAACAGTGCCGCCTCAGTTTTTCGCCAACACCCTCGCCAGTCTGTTTTTTGTTTCGTTGAGGCGAATCCCCCTCAGCACACTGTACAAAACAAATAGTACTTTCAAATGTATACTGCTGCTTTAAGCCGACAAAGTCTGCAGTACAGAAGAGCTGCGCCCGTTACATGGCTATCGTCCGTAACCGGTTTTGAACGCTTCCAACCCAGCAAACTCGTTATGCTTCTTCTTCCTGCCCATGCAGCTTCACCTCACCACCACCACTCAAATGGGATTCATGTGACTTCTGTTGCGAATTTCTTCCCATGCACCGGGGAAGGTGGACAAGCGGAATGACAGGAGAACATACAAAATTTTCTACTGTTTGCCTGGCCCAAAGAAATTTATCAACAATTTAACCACTCCACCTTTATAGGAAAGAATGCATTGCAAGGTGGATTGGACATGATTATACTCGTTCTTTGGGGCTATTTCGCTTCTTTGGGCATCTCAAAAATTCCTTTCGGATCCAGCAACAAACAGCCTTAGTCAACATGCTGTAATCGTTGAATTGCCAGAGAACACATGCCACGCAAATAGGAATCTTGCAAGATCACTACGTAGGCGGCGGCTGTCGCTGCTGCTGCGGCGGCGGCGGCGGCTGCTGTGGCACAACATTTAATCCCCCTACCAGATTCTGAATTGCGGCCAACACACCGGAGATGTTGCTGGGATCAAGCGGGAGATTGTCAAGCGAGATATTGTATGTCGCTTGGCCAGGTGCTTGATTGGGGGTGAAGGAATGGGAGCCTGATGAGCCACCCCAACCAGCCCCGGCAGGCATACCCGCACCAGGCATACCCGCACCAGGCATACCCATTCCAGGCATACCCATTCCAGGCATACCCATACCTGGTATGCCCATACCAGGTACACCCATACCAGGCATACCCATTCCATGCATGGGGAAACCCCCGAATTGCATTCCACTGGGGAAGGCCAAGGGAGGAGGGGTTGGATGTTGGTGGTGTGGTGGGTGGGGGTGGTGATGCTGATGCTGCTCGTGCTGGTGATGATGGTGGGGATCCTGTGGGGTGAGGAAAGAGGATTGGATGGGGAAAGGGAAAGAGAAGGGGGAAAGTGGGGAGGCAAAGAGCGGAGGGGGAAAGTGGGAATTTTGAGTGAAGAGAGAGTTAAAAGGTGGTAGAGGCAAAGAAAGCATACACTGGAAAGGGCGAATCTTGGGCTGAAATGTTCAACACAATGAGGAAATGGATGAATTGGAAGAAATTAATTGTGCCAAAGAGAGGTTTCATTGACAAAAAAAACAGAAAGATTTCACTGTGGTTGTGGAAGGGAACACACAAAAAAAAAAAAAAAAAAAAAAAAAAAAAACATTTTACAACAGGGACGCAAAGAGAATGGAGTTGAAAGGAAGAAAATCGACGAGGGTCAAGATTGGGGTGAGCCAACTTGATCAATCTTGTCCTGTCCAGGCACACATGATCCACGAGGATCAGGTTTGGGGTGGGCAGACCTTTTCTTACTACCCTCGCCTTTCAGATTAATAGACTAGTGCTATAGATCGTTACTCTTAACAGGCTTGCTGCGTTTCGAACCCAACGAATTTCAACCATGATCCACGAGGATCAGCTTTGGGGTGGGCAGACATACATGATGGGAGCAGCATGCGCCACGCCTCTGCTCATCAAGCTTCCTCTTGGCTGCCTGAAGGGGCAGCACGGTTGTGGAAGGGCAATGGCAGCACGGTTGTGGAAGGGAAATGGCAGCAAGAAACATGAAGGTGGGGGGAAGGGAGGGCGGACGAGGTGGAGAATCAAACAGGAGCGCGAGTGAGAGAGTGATTCAGAACAATGGGGGAGGCAAGATAGTGACTCCAACGTTTGACAAACGCAGGCAGGCTGTTTGTTCTGTAAGCCTCATTGTGTCATGCAGTTGCGAATTGAAGGCTAAGGTGGCCGGCTCACTCTGAGGTTCCCCTTGTGCGTTCATTTGGAGGAATTATGCTGCAGATTTCTGAGAGGCCTCACAAATTGTCGGAACAAAACGAATATCAAAAGCCGGATTGCTGAGCTCACCTTTAGGCTGTCCTTGTGCGTTGGATTGGAGGGATCGTGCTGCAGATTTCTGAGGGGTCTCAGTTGTCAGCAGAAGGATAATCTCAAAATCCGAATGGCTGAGCTCACCTTGAGGTTCTCCTTGTGTGCTGCATTGGAAGGATCTAGCTCTAGAGCTGCAATGCGGACAGGGGGGCGGTAAGGAGGGGCGGAAGGCGGAGGAGAAGTAGAATGTGGAATGTACACAAGCAAATGTGGACATCTGAGTGACAGACGAGCAGACACTTGTTTTGAGACGTCTCACACCTTTGCTCTCCTTGTGTGCTGCATTGGAAGGATCTAGCTTCAGTGCTGCAACACGGAACGTAAGTTGACAAGTGAATTTAGGTATGTGAGTCACAGAAAGGCAGAAACAACCGAATGGAATGAAATGGTCTCCAACGCATGCGTTCGGAGATTCCATTCAGAAACAACACCTTTCTTAAAGAACCACTCCTGCAATCTCCCACTCCCACCAGCGCACGCACCTTTCTTGAAGCCACTCCCACCAGCGCACGCACCTTTCTTAAAGCCCTCCTCAATCGCCTCGTGGTGCCGACCCAGCGCCATGCACGCATGCCCCAGCCGGCTGTACGCCTTGCTGTACCTCGGGTCTACCGCCACCGCCCTCCTGCTGTCCGCTGCAGCTTCCATGTAGTTTCCCAACTGGTGCTGTGCCGCGGCCCTGGTGTTCAAGATTAGTGCAAACCGGCGAAGAAAAAATGTCTTGGAATTGTCATGCACATACACACATATATACATATACATACATATATATACAAGTAAATATATACACTATATAACCTAAGAAAAAGTGGCTAGCAATGAAATAAATGCCATGCTTTCGAAACAACCAAGCAGGTGGCAAACAGCTGGCGAAAAAACACCTTACAAAAGAATGACTTCAACAAGAGTGTTGTTTGGGAAGGGAGAGCACCTGTTGGCATAGTAAATGGCGTTGGTGCCACCACAGAGAGCAATCGCTTTGGAGTAGAGTGATAGCGCCTCCTCATACTGATGGGCTGCCATGGCCGCATTGCCTGCAGGGCAGGATGGGGATGAGGGCGATGTGCGGTGAGTGGGTGAACCAAGGGAGAGCTAGAGTCGAGGCATCCCACAGTCCTGAGGCGACTCAACGTCAATTCAGAATCATTTTTGGAAATATGTAATTTGGAGGTCACACCCCACATCACACCACATCATACCACACCACACCACACCACACCACCACCCACCCTGCGCCTTCAGCTCCTCCGCTTTCTTCTTATCCTCTTCTGTGACCACTGCTGCCGCCGCACCCCCACCCCCTGCAGTCTCCGCAGCAGCACCAGCCGCACCACCACTAGCAGCACCACCACTGGCGGAAGGACCAGCAGCATCAGCGGCAGTAGCAGCAACACTAGCAGTCGCAGCAGCAGTAGCAGCTGAAGCATCTCCCCCCTCCATCTCCTTCTCCTTCCCCTTGTCGTCCCTTTGACCCTTGCTGCCCTCGCTGCTCTTGCTGCCGTCCTCCCGCTCCTTCTCGTTCCCCTCCTTCTCCCCTCCCTCCTTCTTCCCTTGCTCACTGCCCCCTTCCCCTTGCTCCTTTCCCCCCCCCTCGCCCCCCCCTCCCTGCTGAGCCACGCACTGGTGGAAGATAGCTCGCGCCTGCTGCTGTCTCACCACATACTCCTCACTCCCTGCCACCGTCCCCGCATAATACCCCGCACTCTCCAGCCCCTGCAGAAACTCCTGAAGCTTCTTCTCCAGATCCATAGCACCCTGGCCCTCCACCTGGCCCTCCTCCCCTTGCCTGTTCTCCCCACTCGCACCTGCCCCAGCTTCCCCACGCGCCGTTTCCGCTTCTCTTTCTTTCCCTTGTTCTCCCATTTGCTCAGCAGCCCCTTCAACTGCGTCTTTCATCTCTACTTCCTCCCCCCCCTCTCTGCCTCCGCTGCCCCCGTTGCCTATCCTAGCGTTTTCTGTTCCTGCAGCAACCGAACCTCCCCCAACCCTGTCTCCCAAGTCTGCTTCCCGAGGCTCGGCGCCACCCTTGACCCCTACATCCATAGGTTCGGGCAGGAGGGCAGCAGCCTGAGAATTTTCCACTAGCTGCCCGCCTGGCCGGGCAGCACCGGCTGAAGAACCATGACCAGTAACAGAACCGGGCGTGCTGTCTTGAATGAGCTGCAACAGTGTTCCGGGCAGAACTGAATATCTTTCCAGGTCGTTAGGGTTTTGCGGGCTGACCCCAAAAGCTTCGGAAAGGCAGTCTGCGGCAACCTCTAGGGCGTCCGAGTCGACTGAGGAGGGGAGTGGGGCTGTCGGGGCAAGTTGGGAGAGAAAAAACGGGAGGAAACGGAAAGAGGGGAGATGAGATGGGGCATCTATCGTCACAATTGTCAGTCTGCGGCAACCTCTAGGTCGTCAGAATCAGCTGAGAAAGGGAGTGGGGCTGATGGGGCAAGGGGGGAGAGAGGAAACGGAAAGAGAAAACGGATAGAAGAATCGAAGAGAAGCCTGAGCGCTTCAAGCTGTTACTACGAGTACCCGTGCGGAGGAACTGACCGTTGAGCCGCTTTACGCAGTCTCTAGTAATCACCTGTGCGGAGGAACTGACCGTTGAGCCGCTTTACGCAGTCTCTAGTAATCACCTGTGCGGAGGAACTGACCGTTGAGCCGCTTTACGCAGTCTCTAGTAATCACCTGTGCGGAGGAACTGACCGTTGAGCCGCTTTACGCAGTCTCTAGTAATCACCTGTGCGGAGGAACTGACCGTTGAGCCGCTTTACGCAGTCTCTAGTAATCACCTGTGCGGAGGAACTGACCGTTGAGCCGCTTTACGCAGTCTCTAGTAATCACCTGTGCGGAGGAACTGACCGTTGAGCCGCTTTACGCAGTCTCTAGTAATCACCTGTGCGGAGGAACTGACCGTTGAGCCGCTTTACGCAGTCTCTAGTAATCACCTGTGCGGAGGAACTGACCGTTGAGCCGCTTTACGCAGTCTCTAGTAATCACCTGTGCGGAGGAACTGACCGTTGAGCCGCTTTACGCAGTCTCTAGTAATCACCTGTGCGGAGGAACTGACCGTTGAGCCGCTTTACGCAGTCTCTAGTAATCACCTGTGCGGAGGAACTGACCGTTGAGCCGCTTTACGCAGTCTCTAGTAATCACCTGTGCGGAGGAACTGACCGTTGAGCCGCTTTACGCAGTCTCTAGTAATCACCTGTGCGGAGGAACTGACCGTTGAGCCGCTTTACGCAGTCTCTAGTAATCACCTGTGCGGAGGAACTGACCGTTGAGCCGCTTTACGCAGTCTCTAGTAATCACCTGTGCGGAGGAACTGACCGTTGAGCCGCTTTACGCAGTCTCTAGTAATCACCTGTGCGGAGGAACTGACCGTTGAGCCGCTTTACGCAGTCTCTAGTAATCACCTGTGCGGAGGAACTGACCGTTGAGCCGCTTTACGCAGTCTCTAGTAATCACCTGTGCGGAGGAACTGACCGTTGAGCCGCTTTACGCAGTCTCTAGTAATCACCTGTGCGGAGGAACTGACCGTTGAGCCGCTTTACGCAGTCTCTAGTAATCACCTGTGCGGAGGAACTGACCGTTGAGCCGCTTTACGCAGTCTCTAGTAATCACCTGTGCGGAGGAACTGACCGTTGAGCCGCTTTACGCAGTCTCTAGTAATCACCTGTGCGGAGGAACTGACCGTTGAGCCGCTTTACGCAGTCTCTAGTAATCACCTGTGCGGAGGAACTGACCGTTGAGCCGCTTTACGCAGTCTCTAGTAATCACCTGTGCGGAGGAACTGACCGTTGAGCCGCTTTACGCAGTCTCTAGTAATCACCTGTGCGGAGGAACTGACCGTTGAGCCGCTTTACGCAGTCTCTAGTAATCACCTGTGCGGAGGAACTGACCGTTGAGCCGCTTTACGCAGTCTCTAGTAATCACCTGTGCGGAGGAACTGACCGTTGAGCCGCTTTACGCAGTCTCTAGTAATCACCTGTGCGGAGGAACTGACCGTTGAGCCGCTTTACGCAGTCTCTAGTAATCACCTGTGCGGAGGAACTGACCGTTGAGCCGCTTTACGCAGTCTCTAGTAATCACCTGTGCGGAGGAACTGACCGTTGAGCCGCTTTACGCAGTCTCTAGTAATCACCTGTGCGGAGGAACTGACCGTTGAGCCGCTTTACGCAGTCTCTAGTAATCACCTGTGCGGAGGAACTGACCGTTGAGCCGCTTTACGCAGTCTCTAGTAATCACCTGTGCGGAGGAACTGACCGTTGAGCCGCTTTACGCAGTCTCTAGTAATCACCTGTGCGGAGGAACTGACCGTTGAGCCGCTTTACGCAGTCTCTAGTAATCACCTGTGCGGAGGAACTGACCGTTGAGCCGCTTTACGCAGTCTCTAGTAATCACCTGTGCGGAGGAACTGACCGTTGAGCCGCTTTACGCAGTCTCTAGTAATCACCTGTGCGGAGGAACTGACCGTTGAGCCGCTTTACGCAGTCTCTAGTAATCACCTGTGCGGAGGAACTGACCGTTGAGCCGCTTTACGCAGTCTCTAGTAATCACCTGTGCGGAGGAACTGACCGTTGAGCCGCTTTACGCAGTCTCTAGTAATCACCTGTGCGGAGGAACTGACCGTTGAGCCGCTTTACGCAGTCTCTAGTAATCACCTGTGCGGAGGAACTGACCGTTGAGCCGCTTTACGCAGTCTCTAGTAATCACCTGTGCGGAGGAACTGACCGTTGAGCCGCTTTACGCAGTCTCTAGTAATCACCTGTGCGGAGGAACTGACCGTTGAGCCGCTTTACGCAGTCTCTAGTAATCACCTGTGCGGAGGAACTGACCGTTGAGCCGCTTTACGCAGTCTCTAGTAATCACCTGTGCGGAGGAACTGACCGTTGAGCCGCTTTACGCAGTCTCTAGTAATCACCTGTGCGGAGGAACTGACCGTTGAGCCGCTTTACGCAGTCTCTAGTAATCACCTGTGCGGAGGAACTGACCGTTGAGCCGCTTTACGCAGTCTCTAGTAATCACCTGTGCGGAGGAACTGACCGTTGAGCCGCTTTACGCAGTCTCTAGTAATCACCTGTGCGGAGGAACTGACCGTTGAGCCGCTTTACGCAGTCTCTAGTAATCACCTGTGCGGAGGAACTGACCGTTGAGCCGCTTTACGCAGTCTCTAGTAATCACCTGTGCGGAGGAACTGACCGTTGAGCCGCTTTACGCAGTCTCTAGTAATCACCTGTGCGGAGGAACTGACCGTTGAGCCGCTTTACGCAGTCTCTAGTAATCACCTGTGCGGAGGAACTGACCGTTGAGCCGCTTTACGCAGTCTCTAGTAATCACCTGTGCGGAGGAACTGACCGTTGAGCCGCTTTACGCAGTCTCTAGTAATCACCTGTGCGGAGGAACTGACCGTTGAGCCGCTTTACGCAGTCTCTAGTAATCACCTGTGCGGAGGAACTGACCGTTGAGCCGCTTTACGCAGTCTCTAGTAATCACCTGTGCGGAGGAACTGACCGTTGAGCCGCTTTACGCAGTCTCTAGTAATCACCTGTGCGGAGGAACTGACCGTTGAGCCGCTTTACGCAGTCTCTAGTAATCACCTGTGCGGAGGAACTGACCGTTGAGCCGCTTTACGCAGTCTCTAGTAATCACCTGTGCGGAGGAACTGACCGTTGAGCCGCTTTACGCAGTCTCTAGTAATCACCTGTGCGGAGGAACTGACCGTTGAGCCGCTTTACGCAGTCTCTAGTAATCACCTGTGCGGAGGAACTGACCGTTGAGCCGCTTTACGCAGTCTCTAGTAATCACCTGTGCGGAGGAACTGACCGTTGAGCCGCTTTACGCAGTCTCTAGTAATCACCTGTGCGGAGGAACTGACCGTTGAGCCGCTTTACGCAGTCTCTAGTAATCACCTGTGCGGAGGAACTGACCGTTGAGCCGCTTTACGCAGTCTCTAGTAATCACCTGTGCAGAGGAACTGACCGTTGAGCCGCTTTACGCAGTCTCTAGTAATCACCTGTGCGGAGGAACTGACCGTTGAGCCGCTTTACGCAGTCTCTAGTAATCACCTGTGCGGAGGAACTGACCGTTGAGCCGCTTTACGCAGTCTCTAGTAATCACTTGTGCGGAGGAACTGACCGTTGAGCCGCTTTACGCAGTCTCTAGTAATCACCTGTGCGGAGGAACTGACCGTTGAGCCGCTTTACGCAGTCTCTAGTAATCACCTGTGCGGAGGAACTGACCGTTGAGCCGCTTTACGCAGTCTCTAGTAATCACCTGTGCGGAGGAACTGACCGTTGAGCCGCTTTACGCAGTCTCTAGTAATCACCTGTGCGGAGGAACTGACCGTTGAGCCGCTTTACGCAGTCTCTAGTAATCACCTGTGCGGAGGAACTGACCGTTGAGCCGCTTTACGCAGTCTCTAGTAATCACCTGTGCGGAGGAACTGACCGTTGAGCCGCTTTACGCAGTCTCTAGTAATCACCTGTGCGGAGGAACTGACCGTTGAGCCGCTTTACGCAGTCTCTAGTAATCACCTGTGCGGAGGAACTGACCGTTGAGCCGCTTTACGCAGTCTCTAGTAATCACCTGTGCGGAGGAACTGACCGTTGAGCCGCTTTACGCAGTCTCTAGTAATCACCTGTGCGGAGGAACTGACCGTTGAGCCGCTTTACGCAGTCTCTAGTAATCACCTGTGCGGAGGAACTGACCGTTGAGCCGCTTTACGCAGTCTCTAGTAATCACCTGTGCGGAGGAACTGACCGTTGAGCCGCTTTACGCAGTCTCTAGTAATCACCTGTGCGGAGGAACTGACCGTTGAGCCGCTTTACGCAGTCTCTAGTAATCACCTGTGCGGAGGAACTGACCGTTGAGCCGCTTTACGCAGTCTCTAGTAATCACCTGTGCGGAGGAACTGACCGTTGAGCCGCTTTACGCAGTCTCTAGTAATCACCTGTGCGGAGGAACTGACCGTTGAGCCGCTTTACGCAGTCTCTAGTAATCACCTGTGCGGAGGAACTGACCGTTGAGCCGCTTTACGCAGTCTCTAGTAA